CTTATCAACATAAGTTATACATATATAACATTATTGATGAATTATATGAAGCTCCTGTGAATATGAAATCAGTGTCAAACACATTAAGAGTCCCGAAAGACGCAAAGCTTGCTCTCAGTATCTTTCCAGGTTTGGTTTCCGGCAATTTCATTCTTATCGTCATTTCCGCCACAAACATCACCTTTCAGACATATCGTCATCATCAACAACAACAAAACAACAAGAAAGAATACGATTTCTTAGGTAAATTATGGGCGCTGGCGTTCGACGTTGCGAAGCGTGCGAGTGATGCATGAATCATAGCACGTTTGCCTCGTTCGGTTCTTGCACAAGTACATTTATCTGGTTTCTTTCGGTTGGCCCTGAGATGCCTGATCCTTGAGATATTTTGCTGCGAAGTAGTACTCAGTCATTCTATCAAAAGCACGTACATACATGCACAGACATGACACGATTCTCACACCCTCTTTCGTTCGCTGCACTTGGACAAAGAAGGACCAGTGAGATGGGTGTAAATGTTGCTTCAGAAGTCAATCGGCTTCTGGGTAAAATCTTCTCCCTCATATTGTGTTCCCAACAGTTGAATCAATAGCATTTCTGCTAACTGTACTATCACTGCGCATCCAATAGGCAGGAATTGCCAAATCACTAGTATAATAGATGCTTTTCATATCCAGATTTTGTGTTACACATTTTGCCTTAATCACCGGGGTAGGCACCGTGGTCACCTGACAGAAGAGCGAGGAGCATCAAAGCAAAAACTGAAATAGACAAAGTGACCATCGGATGCAAATGCCGCATAACCTACATCGCATAAGTCGTGACCCGGCCTGTCTGACCAGGACACTTCTCACTGAATGCACCAGTTCTTAATGGGTCAGGCATCAGCGTAACCGGTTTGTTGGCCGGTAGAAGCGACACACCCCTCGGGCGCGATCCTCGTTGGATGCAAATGAACTGATGGTATACAACCTTGAACATCAGCTGCAAAGACACTTCCAACACTTCTCTGTATCCATCTGTTTATAAATTTATCTGTCTATCTCTTTGTCTACGTAACTACCTTTTAAATCCATCTACTACTTAATTGTCAATCTCAATCTCTGTGCGCACTAATGATCTATCTGTCTAACCCTTTACCTCTTTGTCGCTACGTATCCATCCATCTGTTAGTCTATATCCATTATTTCGTCCATCCATTCGTCTGTCTATCTATATATTTATGCACATATCCACAAGTTTGATTATTTGAATACTTATTTTTTTGTTTGTCTGTCTAATAACTTATCAATCCCTTGATTCATTTATCTAACCTTCATTCTATACATTTGTACATCGACATGTCTATCCACCTGCGTATCAGTCCGTTGAACTGTTGGCGTTGCCGTTTGGACATCGTCTGAAGCTAACAGAGCAAAGAAGAGTTACAATGTTCTACATTTACAAATGCCCAGCAGTGAAGCAGACGACCGCAGGCAACCACCACTTAGCTGTCGTCCCCTCTCCTTTCCTCGAATGCGCTCATTGTCGAAGAATTTGAGCGACCCAACTCCGCGATCACCGTTGCCGCAGGTCAGTGAGCGTAAAGTTCAGCATATCAACGCGAATGCCGGCAAGCATGCCAACGTTACGAACGAGTCACCGACGCCGAATTTTCAGTTAGCCTCTACCAGACGACGTCAGCAAAGGGACGTTACCCGGTACAAACCCGGATAACTCCGAAAACCGGATTCGATTTCAAACACAGTGAAACTTTTTCCGATCCGGTTTGATTTCGGTGCCTTGTTCGAATTTGCTTCGTAACACGTACTAATACAACGCTAGAAACCGGCAAACCGCCTTTATATTCATTTCGAGGATAATAACTCGTTAGTCACGAGTAAAAATAATTTCAATTTCACTACAAATAAAACAAAACAGATTTTAAAGCCACTCTTAGATTCATTCTAAAGAGAAGGTTCACTTCAACACATACGGTACGATATCCTGCCGACATGGTGTACCAAGATGATACTGTCTTGATTAGTAGAACATGCAAAGGGCTGTGTCATCCGATTATGTCCGTTTGCAACGCAGCTACGAAAACAGACCTCTTCCTCAATGCCGGAGGTCAAAACGTACGATCATCCTATTCAGCATGGCTGATCAACAAGTGGAACAGGGAGAAGAACTGCTTCCAAAAGAAGAACCATTTAAGTACCTCAGTTCCATCACCATTTCCGAGGGCATCATTCATCTTCTTTATCTTCCATGGCAGCTTCTGCTTTCGAATCGTGGAGGCAGACGCGTCAGACAGTGCTTCGAACGTTCCCAATCCTGTGAAAGAGTCTCAGCTTCGACAGAACACATCTGGAGGTGCGAACAGACTCCTACCACATATTTGCACCAGGTTAACCTTGGTTCAGAAGGTTCATGGGCCTTCTGCCACTCGGTTTGGAGAAGGTTTATCCTCCCTTTCTGGAGGCATTCGCAACACATGGTCAAACCATCGCAGCTGTGACTTCTCAGTCAGAAGAAGCAAAGACTGTATATCAACGCTCTCCCGGATGTCAGTATTCGGAAACATGTCGACACGCGTAAGGCCAGCGACTCGTCTAAGAAAGCCCATTTCAGCAGCCTGTATCCGGATTCGAAGCTTTTCAGTCATGGCCTACGACCCATGACCGTAGCAAAGCATGGGGACAAAGATCGACTTGAACACCGAGAGCTTCGTTTTCACAATGAGCTCTGCCTCAGTCACAACGGGTCAAGCTAGTTCACGCAGAACGCCACTGGCTACTCCAATTCGAAGGTAGATCTCTTCTTCAAATTTTCCATCACCAGTAAATACGACTCCGAGGTACTTGAACTTCTTCACCTGCTCCACTTCCTCTCCGTTAATCTGAAGAGAGCAACGGGCAGGAGAACGAGAAAGCACTAGGCTT